TCCCGCGCAGTTCGATCTCGGTGGATTGTGCGAAGTGTGCCAGCTATTCGGCCTGGCGTAAGTAATCCGTGCGTGCGAGACTCAGCCGTGAAAGCATAGATACTCTCATGGCTGAATCAGCGTATTTTACAATGTTATCTAGCACTAGGCTGTCGGCACCTCCACACGATTCGCTGACCGCTACCAAGTACAAGTAGTGTTCGGCCTAGCTTCTCGTGGCGAGATTTGGTGTCGTGAACATCTTCATACTCTGTGCTGGCGTGATCTTCGTCGCGAACGTGTGCAGCAGTCGCTGCATCGCGTGCTCCAGCGCCTGGATCTCCTCCCACCAGCCCTCCACCTATTGGTTATAATAATTCTCGGCCATGCCGGTCAGGTGGTGGCCTAGGATGTCGACTTTCACATCTTCCAGCCACTGGTAGCCACTCGCTCTCTCCGCGAACTGAATCTGCCGCACGAAATGCTTTCCCCATGACAAGAACCCGTTCCCTAGTCCGTGGTAGAGCTCCTTACCGTCAAATGGGCGAATGCCAAGCTTGCGTTGCCTCGTGTCCGGCACTCACGCGAAGCCTGGCACCGGTGTTGGCGGCTGGTAAGGCTGCGTCGGCACGTAGTGCTGCGGCAGCGTTGGCTGTGGTGCATGTGCCGTCTCCACGTTCGCGGCCGCTTCGGCGTACCCGTGCTGCTTCACTCCGAAGTACGTCGCCGGTAAGATCCCCGGCGAGTTCCGTGGTGGTGGCAATTGGTCCAGGGCTTGACGGTCCATGACCCCCAAACCTAGTGACGAGCCGAACACGCTGGTCTCCAAGTCTTTTAGCAGCTCCTTCTCTTTTTGTCGCTCCTGCGACGCTTCCAGGCGCTCCATGCGTTCCGCAAGGCCTGTGGAAAGGCTCAGCAGCTTTTCCTCGTGCCCTTCGGCTTGTACGCCGTCTTGACCTCGTCGCTCTCATCGTACTGGCTGCCGGTCCTTCCGTGACGAGCTTGTGCTTCCTACTGCACGCGGTGTTCATCCGCGGCAACAGTATGAACCATTGGGCTCATAACCTGTTAGACAGAGGTTTTACTGTGAATATGTAGAAGTGATATTTGCTCTTAACTGTCTTCCTGCAAAATATCCTTGGCAACCATCTGTGCCACTCGTTTGTGCTCATCCGTAGAGTCGGCGCCCGAACCGGTCCTTCTCGGCACCGTGGACCGTAATCACGGTCAAAAACTAACATGCGCATCAGTAAACACGGCGAGGACTAGCGCTCTCCAGGCATCCGCGTGAATCCGCTGCGGTTCTTCATAATTTGGAGCATATGGGGCTTCTGAATTCTGGCCACGGTTTCCGGTGCTTCTAGCGCTCAATTACAGCGCCCCCGACGTGCGGGTGTCGACGCTGGAAATTGATATTATCTCCTTCTTGGTCGTTGACTGGGCACGGCCGACTATCAAAAGGCGCAACGCCGTCGTGACGAAAGGAAGAAGGGCTAGCTCATTAGGAGCGGACTCTGGTATTACAGCCGGCACCTTAATTACTGCGGAGAGATCATGATGTGGATTATTTGCTTCGTAAGCGTGCACACACCGTCGACCACGGAGCTGAAAGCTTCAGCGCCGCTCGTATTTCGTATTTTAGTGGTTGGTCTGTCGTTCGAGATGAGGCTTGCCAGTTTAACGGCTGACCAGGTGCATTAGTGAAGCGAGTTGTTCCAGCTGCTCGACGCTATCCTGCACTTTCTTACCCTTGTCCTCGAGGAAGACGTTGCTCACAACTGACAGAGAGTTGAGGTAGCGGCTGCGATCTCCGTCAACAAATGAACGTTGTATTGCGGTAGCTTTATTCAGTATGTAACGTTGGTATGGCAAGCAGTTGCTACGAATTGCTGAAAATTATCATTCTTCCGAAGTAGTTGGTAAATACTGGTTGCACATTGGCACTTTAGCAGAAAATGTGTATTGTATGCTTATGCCGGCCAATTTAGCCTCGATGCAAATAGAGAACTTTCGAAGCTCACTTGATTTTAATTTGAGTTTCAGAACGGCGCGTTTTAATGCAGTCTGAAAGAAGAACGCGCGCCAACCAAAAGCTCGCTTCGAAGGTCCACTGAGCACGTCCGTTTGACAAGTTAGCATTAGCGCGATGACAGCAGAAGAAGTGGTGCCTAACACGTGGGTCAGGCACCGGTGCCGCCTGCCATGCACGCGGACATATCGCCTTGTGTACGCAAGAACTTCACAGTGACTGACGATCTCGTTCTGCTACGCCATGGGAGGCTTGTGTGGGTGCGGCACATGGAATCATACAGGCGTTTGAAATATTAGCTGATAAGTGGTAAAGGTAGGGTCGCTGGCCACTCATACGACGCAGGGGCTGGCACCGACAACATGGTATTGTGTGCACCAGGCGAGGGTGATGTCGCTGGACAAGCAGACAACGCTATGGTGAGCACCGAAGGCATCGTATCCTGGCCACCAGGTGGAGGTAGTGCTGTTGGACACACGGACGACGCAATGTCAGACACCGTAGGCGTCGTCGCTTTAACGTCATGTGGAGGAGGCGTTGCTGGATATGCGAGCAACGCAGTGTCAGACACTGGAGGCGAGCTCAGTGTTAGAATCTGGCGCAGAGGATAACACGGAAGGTGGATCAAACACCATTGTCATATTAGTGCGATAAACTCAGTGATTCCTGGCATCCTTCCCAGTCCCCTCGCGTTGTGGAGGCCTTCTATGAGGGCACCATGGTGGGTTGTAACCCACTGAAGAACGTCCGGTAGAAGCTGGTAAAGCACATGGGCATGTCGGTACCGCGGGAACGAGCAGTCCGACGCTTCCTGGAAACGGACGCACGCCTGGGTGCCATTGACCTGTGGGATCTGCGCTCGTGTTGCTTGCGGGATCACTGCAGACTCAGCGGTGCGCCTGGCGCCTTGGGTCCGGGAACTGCCCGCACGAAATGGACGTTGTGGATCAGTTCCAGCACGTCGACTGCCGGCACGAGATGGCCCTGGCCCATCGAAAACGGAGCTAGAAATAGCGCTGTGAAGCACCTAGTGCACGTATCGTTGATGCTCGGGAGAGTCACGGCTGAGCACTCGTAGTGCACGAGTGTTCAAGTCGCGACCGTCCACACCGGTCAAGAAATCCGTGAAACGTTCGGTAAGCACTGTCTGGTATAAGTTGCACTCTGTGTGCACAACTTGCGGCGGGGACCTGAGCATCACATTATGAGCAGCATCGCCGTGAACAGTACAGAATACCGCCACCAGATCGACCGGATATCACAGCGCTGTCGTCTCTTAAAAACATGGATGGCATGATGGAGTTGGTCTGCCTGGCAGATCTGAAGGGAAGGTTCAGGCTCGAGACCACTCCATTGAGAGTCGTCATGAATGCCCATGCGGTCCTGCCGGAGCGTCTCAGGGCTCTCTGAGGACAGGAAATGGTCGGTGGGGCGATTGCCAAAATTTACGACAAATAGCATCTTGGCAGTGACTTTCAACACTCGGTATCGGTTTGAAAACTCTCGCGTTGAAGCATGGATCCGGTCTGGTCGTGCATCGACATGTCGAGAAACCAGTAGAGTCCATCCGTACCTTGGGAGGACTGGTCGAACCGAGGGCTAACGTGTGCAATGGTATGCTCTGTAGCTTCATTCTCCGATGAGCGAAAGAGACTCTTACCGGCCGGTTGATGCCCTAGGGGCAAGCGGCGCGAGAAAGGGAGCGGTGAACGCGTGGTTGTGAGCAACAGCGCCGACCTCTCAGAGAGGACGGAGAACTCCGACGCTGGACACGATCGTGGTGGGGGGGGGGGCGGGGGGACGGCTCCGAGACCACCGTCGTAAACAGGAGGCAACCGGGAGCGAGAACGGGAACGACCACGCCTGGTGTGCCTATGGTAGCGAGGAGAAAAACGGGAACGGGAGTGAGTCCGGTGAAAGGAACGTGAACGTGAGGCTCCAATAACAAGTCGGCGTCATCCACCAGAGCCAAGCTCGACATGGGATAGTAAGACACCACTTGACCACACAAGAAGACGTCAGACGTCTTGAGGAGAAAGCTGGAATGGCACCGTGGTGTGACCAAAAAGTAGGTACTAAAGCGTACATAGCAAAACAGGGATAACAGTGGGCATTCATCAATGGCCCGTGGGATGGCCCAGTTTACTCGACTCTGGGACGCGAGCTGAAGGTTCTGAAGCCGACCGATACCGGTCCGCTCCTCACGGAGGACGACGGCATGTGCCTCCCGGTCTGGCAGGCGACCTAGACCATCATATGTCACGACCAACGTCGTGGGGTTTGCTAGTGGATTGAGCATTTGTCCCCCTTGATTGATACGTGGCGAGAAGATGCGATTCATGATTGGATGATATTCGAATTTATAACAGGGTGGGATTCGTGAAAATTTGAAATTAAGCAAAATGCGAATTTCACCGTCGTTGTTTGCCGGTATTTGTACTGTACAATTATTGTCCGCATTTACTGTTAGCACCAAAGTGAGCATCTACTTTCGGCTCTACAAGAACATGTCGCCGTTCAGTACTGGATCCCTTTCTGGCGGCTGACGTCGTCCCACCGTGCCCTTCCGCCGAGCTTCATCCGGAGCTTTAATGCGCAAGATACGACCTCGGAGCGCTAGTGTGTGAGTGACGCTGCGCGGCTGGTTCTGGCTTGGAGGGATGGGCTTAGGAACGGACGCCATGTTAAAAAATCTTCTGGCAGCCAGGCTGCGTCTTCGTGGAGCAGTGTGCTCTGTTGGTGCTAAGCTATGAGCTTGGGCTGCTGGGGCTCCAGCTCTGGCGTGTCAAACGGTGAATGGCCGGGAGAATTCTTCGCTCTTGGAAACCCACCTCCGCTCGTACTTAACCGAACATTGTTTTTCAAAATTCATAGCACGACTTTGTCATTTATAACAAATAAATCACTGTATTAAATGCTATTGCGTAAATCGTCCCACTCTTTTTAAACTTATCATAAATAGCTTTTCATACTCTTAAAAAAATTGTGCACGATGACGCGGAAGTCGAAGAAGGCGGCAAAGGACGATGTGACACGGGTGCGCCGCAAGGCGATCCCATGGGAATCCGACGGCGTGTCACCGGGCTCTCCTTCGTCTTTTGATGTTCTCATGATGTGGCTCGGGACACCCGGCAACGCCGAACGTTGGCGTCGCGAGAAGCGCAAGGACCTAGTTAAAGAGATCATTCAAATGCTGGCGGCCAATGGCATCCTGCACCGGGCGGTGGGAGACGTGCACTCCAAAATATGGTACATGGAGACCCAGTTTACATCTGCGAATGCATTCTTAACCCGAAAGGGCCAGCTAGACGCGTTCCAACGGGGGGAAGCGGGCCCTGACATTGCCAACGAAGTGCTCAAGCTCTGCCCGCACTATCAAGACATGGCGCCGTTTTTTGGAAAACTTAAAGCGGGCAAAAAGGTGCAAGTAACGCCGAAGATTGCTTCTAATGGGGCAGCTGCTGTTAATGGGGCGAAGACTGTGAGTGATACAGTTTCTGCAGGCGGCAGCGTGAGTGCTGCAGGGGAGTGGAAAAGGAGTTTGGAGAAGGACCGCCGCGATACTGTGACTGATAAATCTCATTCTAGCGACCGAGGAGAGAAGGTGGTGAACGTATCCAACGGAGCCAATGGAGATGAAACGAGTAAACAGCAGCAACAGAAGAAGGAGAAGTTGACGGCAAAGAAAAAGGAGATTGGCGGTGACACGACTGGTACGAAGAAGGCAAATGGAGTCGATGCTGTCACTAGAAAGAATATTAATGACGTAGCGGGAAACAAGAAGAAGAGTAGCGCCGATGGGAAGAATGGTGCGGCCGAAGCGGGCTCGAATGAAGCTGAGAAGGATATATTTAGTGGTGCTGACGAACAGAAGATTGACGATGATGTGAAGCAAGCACGTAACGATGCAGTTGCGAAGGATGAGGGGGAGGGCGCTCTTGCAGATGTCGAAGATGGCCAGAGCGACATTGGTGAGGACGATCAGAACGACGGCGATGAGGACACAGATACATTTTCAGAGCAAGGAGAGGCTCAAGCTGACGACGACAGCGAAAGTCAAAGCTCTGACGAAGCAGAAAAACCTCGCGCGCGCATTACTGTGAGAAATGGAGTACGAAGTCCGTTTAAGACAAAGCCTCAGCAGATCGAATCGGAAAGCAGTAGCTCCGAGGAAGAAGATGACGAATACGAAAAGAACGACGTTGAGAGCGGCCACGAAGAGGGCGATGGCGAAGAGCAAATTCCGTTAGCTCAAACGGACGAGGTTGATCCTTCACCTGTAGCTGAAGAGGGCGATGAAGTGGAGCAAGACGGCGAAGAGAAGGAACACAGTGAGGTCGACGAAGCGGATCAGAGCAAAGCGGAAGAGTTAGAAGATACTGAGGAGGAGGAGGAGGTTGAGGAAGACCCGACTGAAGACAGATCAAACACCACGGCAGCGGACTCGACTAACAATTCGGACAGCAGCTCTTCTAGCGAGAGTGAAGATGCTGAATCGGAGGAAGAAACGCCACCTACTCAGGTGAAGATTAACTCGGATGCGGAAGTAGAGTCCGGAGAAGACGAGTCCAAAGCAGAGGACAATGAAGACGATGTCGAGATGCTGAAAGACTTTGACAAGCGCGACTCAGACGCCCACGCGCCTGTGGCGGAGGTTGAGCCTGCCGTGGTGTCTTCTGAGCGGAAACGCAGCGTTTCCAGTGAGGTGCCCCCCTCTCCGAGGCCTAACAAGCGTCCCAGAGCAGATAAGGATTCCGTCCACATTACCAGAGACCTCGAGCGCGCAGCTTTCGTCGAACGAGCAAAGCAAGAACAAGACCAGCGCGACGAGCTGTTCAAACTTGAGCGCGCCAAGCTCGAGTGCGAGCTACAGGCAAAGCAAGTGCAGCTCACGATGGAGCGATCTCTCGCCCGCAAGAAGCTTCTCGGCGCAGGTATAGACCGCGCCGAGGTCGATCGTGTGCTTCCACTCAACTAAGAAGCCTCTAAGAAACATTTTGAACTTGAAATTTAAGTTGCTTGAAATGTCTAATGTTGCACCGATGTTGCTCACTTAGAATCTATGACAATCCGAATTTCTTGAGTGAGCTACATGTCGCCCAAGCCTAAGCAGGCCCGCAAGACGCCCCAGAGCGCGCTGTCGGACAACGCGCGGCCGGGCGGGCCGACTACTATGGACATACTGATGCGCTGGCTTACTACGCCCGGTAACGTGAAGCGCTGGCGTTTGGAGCCGCGTGCGCCGCTCGCGCGTGAGGTGGTGGAGATTATGCAGGACGAGGGGCTGGCCCACCGCCAGGCGCCATTCGTCCGGTACAAACTGGTCGCTATGGAGAAGCAATACATCACCGCCCAGAAGTGGCTGCTAGAGACAGGCATGCACGACGCCTTCTTGCGAGGAAAGGCTTCGAAAGAAGTCCGTGCCCATGTTAATTACTTGTGTCCGCAGTATAAGAAGCTGGAACCGGCCTTCAGAGGCGCTCCATTCAGTACGAAACACTCGGAGACAATTGAACTCGACGATGAAAGTGCCGAGGACGTGGAAGCAGAGGAGAAGCAGGAAGAGGCGAGTGACGATGATCATCTGGATGGAGAGAAGTCCGCGGCTCACCTCACCGAGAATCGGGACACGTTTAGAGACCTGCTTTTTGCTCGGAAGAATAGTGAAGCGGGGAAGGAAAAGGCTTCAATGTCGGCGGATGATCGACAGACGAAGGCTCGGGCGTTCAGAGATCGACTTCTTGCTGACAAGGGTGCCGTTAATGAGAAGGAGAAGAGCACGACTGCGGCTCCACTGAAAAAACACAGCAGACTAGCAAAACAGCTTGAACCTTCACCTGGTTACGCCGCAGCAAGAAAAAGCTTGACGACTCCGGAACGGGAGGAGAAGACTAATGCAATCGAAGAGCAAGTCCCGACTACGACTGCTGATAACGTTGCTCAGAAAGAGAAGACCGTGCTGCCGAAGAAAACCAAGAGCTTATCTAAAGTGAGCGTTCTGTCGTCAGCTATGCAGGTTGCGATGGAGCTAGCTGCCCCGGAGGTGGCGAAAAAAACATCTGCTTCTGGTAAGAAGCGCAAGGGTCGAACACCGAAAAATACAGCCGATGCAACGAATGGCACAAAGGAGAGTGCAAACGGCGAGAAGGAGGTTGCACCAAAGACGGGAGCTGCCAAACGGAAGAGCTCGGTAGAGGATGTGACTGCAAATAAGCGCAACCGGACACAAGAGCAGGTGGAGACGGACGCCAAGGACATGAAGGAGATAGAGCGTGAAGCTCTGCTAGAACGAGTTAACGATGAGCGCAAGATGCTGCTGAAGCGTGCCAAAGATGAAGAAAAACAGCGCCGTGATGTGTTTGAGCTGGAGCGCGTCAAGCTGGAATACGAGGTAGAGTCGAAACGGGTCCAGCTGTTGTTTGAAAAGGCTGCGGCGCGGAAGAAGCTGGACCAGCTTGGGGTTTCTCAGGAAGAGATTGACAACATCCTGCCGCTATGAAAGATGCCAAGAAATGAGCCACGAGGTGCGGGAGTGAAAATTTGCAAGTTAGTTGGTTATTGGAGTTTGCGTACGGAGAAACCAGGAACAAAGGCTAAACCTTTTACTTCGAAGTACTAGGATCATGTCTGTCTTTGGTTTTATTTTCTTTGTTTTTCTGCGTGTGAGTTGTTGATCAACTGAAGAGCCTCTTAACCACCTCACTTTGGCTGGCCATTCAGATATGAGTTTTCAATGCTGCAAGCCCCCGACCCCACAACAACGAAAGCCACAAACTTGCACTAACAGTAAGCTTCCTTTTTTCATTTTGTTTCTCCTATTTCGTTCCGCTTTATTTCTTGCACCCGGCCTTGTGCAATTTCCAGTCAGCTTTCTGACACACTGGACTACAGTAAAACTGAGCCCTACATCGCGAGCATCGCAGCGTGCCATTCTTCGAGCACCGGTCAGCACCACAAATGCGCTGAATCGATCCAGGCATCATAACCTTGCCCGGGGCCTTGGCACGGGCCAGTGCAGCTCCCGCAGCCGCACCTCCATTTCCTGCCGCTGCCGCAGCTGACTGCACTTTGGCCGTTTGTACCCATGGTGCGTCACCAGACACCTCACTCAACCGGAAATCCATACGCACAAAGTCGTCATCTACCAACAACCAATTCTATCAGAAAACCAGGACAAAACACTCCATAAGTTCCCTTCAGAAATCTGTACTCACCGTTATCGAGCACCCGTCCAATGAACGCATCACCCTTGACCTCCAGCATCTTACCACAAGCCTGAGCAATAGCCGATGCGCGGACGTTGGTGGGCAGCGCCTTGGCAGTACCCTTGTCGTCCACATACATGTTAACGCCCACGTGCTTGACGTCGGCCGTGTTGAGCACGAGCGGGATCGAGTCTACGAGACTGTCCATCTGCAACATCATCTGCAGCATTTCATCGGTCAACGTAGCACCCTTGGGCAGCTGAGCCAGAAGTTGCTGCTTGAAAGTTGCCTGTTGCTGCTGATTGGAAGCCGCAGTGGCACCGCTCTTAAAGTGCTCGCGCAGACGTTCCGTCAAGCAGCCGAGCTGCGCCTCCTTGTCTTGCGGCAGGTCGACTGCCCATTCTTCCAGCTCCTTGGCCTCATCCGCTGGCACATAAACCACGTAGAAGTTCTGGCGCTTCGCTTCGTCTTCGCCAACCATCGTCAAATTTGCAAATGAAGGATCTGAAAATTAAAAGATGCTAACTGGAAATTTCCTAAAATGACCTAAGCTTGTTGTAAATTTGGGATGGTAGAACAGTTAGTGTACTTTTAAGAAGTTGACAGACGTCACCACACTCGCGTTTTATGAAAGATGAAAATGAAGATTGAAGGCAGTCTCCAACTCATTATCGGCCCCATGTTCAGTGGTAAGAGCACGGAGCTTATCCGCCGCATCCACCGTTACCAGCACGCCAAGCTTGATTGTCTCGTGGTCAAATACCTCTTCGACACGCGCCACTCAGAGGAGTACGCCACTTCAATTGCCTACTGTAGTTTGGTGACTAATGGTGCTACTATACCGCTACTTTGCAGAATGCTGTCGACTCACGACAAAGTGTTCGTGGAGGCAATGCCCGTGCAGGCTCTGGCGGAGGTTCGTCCGTTTCTAAAAGAGTACGACGTGATTGGCATCGATGAGGGACAATTCTACCCGGATGTGAGAGTTGACAAAGAGTTGCCTAGTCTCGCTGAAGAATGGCGTCTGATCTTCACTTTGGTGTCATATTTTGGTTTAGCTGGTCGAGTTCTGCCAGGAGGCAGCTAACCTGGGCAAGGTGGTGGTTGTAGCCGCACTAGATGCGACTTTCGAGCGAAAAGTAGGGTGCTGTCAAGTGAGGGGGGATACGACCGGGTGCTGAGGTGCTGACTGGTGCACGCGTTTTGATCATGTAGGCTTTCGACAACGTTATTGAGCTGATCCCCACGGCGGAGAAGGTCATCAAACTCAACGCAATCTGCTCCTCTTGCGGCCAAGATGCAGCGTTCACAAGACGCCTTGTGGCCGACAAAACGTTAGAGGTGCGAACTGCTACAACCACATCAACTACATTCCTGTGATCTTCGTTCTTACTTTGAACGTCGTCGATATGTCAGCTCATCGGTGGTAGTGAACTATACGAGCCTCGTTGTCGCCAGTGTTTTACATGTTAGCCTCAATTGAGAGCAGTATCCCAGAATGCTGTCTTATACATGTACACGTAGAGCTTATCAAGTTTTTCTTCAGTATTTTTGTTAACAGTGCTGGAGTAAATACTACTTCCTCTGGTCGGAAATGATCACGCGAAGTTAGTATGATAGGTCTTTCAACTGTTCAATCCTCGATAGAAATTTGAAAAAACCTATCATACTAACTGACACGTCTTTCAACTACGTATTACTGTACTGTGTAAGAGGCGTTGACGTATCCTGAGTGTGGATAACCGCGTTCATATCCGCTGTTGCGCTCGACTTCTGTGCATTTTGATAACACCAACTGTACGTGGCGACAACGAGTTGTGTATCTCTCAACGGTTATTGGACGTCACTCCACCACCACATTGTTATTAATATAGGTACTCGCAAAACTGTTGCCGAAAGCTTTTGTTCTCGCAACAACAAGTATCAACCCACACAGCTCTATCTAATACAACCTTCACCAGTCACTTTACCATGATAACTTATCTTCGCACTTTCACCTGTCGGCTTAGTCCACTACCTTTACTGTCCCGCTTCCTCTTCCCAGCGGGCGGTGCGCTAACGTTCGCCGTCGCTGGTGTGCGTGAATCCTTCTTTTCCATTATAGTCCTCACCACTCGGCGACTCGTCTTGCCCGCTTTTCCATTCTCCGCCCTCTTAGCAACAATAGTATTGACAACCACAACTTTCTCTTCGTTCGCCTCGCAGTCCGTCGTCTCGGCATCCGATAGTCCAAACACACAATTAAGGACATGATGTCTCATAAAACTGTCAACCCAGGAGTCCGATACAGCAAATCCGTCCGTCGAGACCTTGCCCTGCTGGACGAGCTCCTTCGCTTTGGTCTTCACTTTGGTCACCGTCACTGCCTCGTCCTTATCGATCTGTGCCTCCAACCACTGCAGCATAGCATTCTCCACATGCGGACACTTGATCACTTTCGGCTTCGGAGGCTTCACTGGCACGGGCGACCGCTTGGTACATACACGCGGCTTGGCAGGCTTCCCGGCCTGCCGCAAGATGATGGAGATTGTGGGCTGTGACGGCACGAAGCTGAGCTGGAATGTGTCGGCCACCCACTGGCACAACTGCGTCTGCTTCCATTCGGGCTGCTTGTCGCTTTGGCGCACGATCGCCACCCTCTGCTCCTTGCTTAGCACTGGTTTCCGCGCCATTTCGAACGGGATCAGATTTGTTGGCGCGACTTTTTGACAAGGAATTATTTCAACAAAAAAAGCAAGTTCATTTATAAAAAAAGAAACGTTTTTTACAGCATATTACTTTAATTAAATTTCTGTTAGATGGCATCACCTGCTCCGCCACCACGGCGCTCTCGCCGCAACCTGACGTACGGGGAGAAGCTGGTGATCATCCAGAAGAAGGAGGAAGAGCCCGCATGGACGCAGCGCAACCTGGCGCTCTGGGCCAAGGAAGCGTTCCGCCTGGAGAGCAAGCCCACACAAGCCACTATCTCCAACCTGCTACGCGACAAAGACAAGCTGTTGAGCGCTGTGGTGCCGCCTGGGTTCCGCTCTGCACGGAAAGTGAAATACCCGGAACTAGATCAGATGGTGCTGCACTGGGTACATGCGGAACTGGAGCGCGGCGAGTGCATGACGCGCTCGTCTGTGCAGACCAAGGCTGTGGAAATTGCCCAGGAGATGCAGCTACCTTCGGACCTGAGCTTCTCTAAGGGCTGGGTCAGCAGTTTTATGAGCAGGCACCAACTGAATTTCTCCAAGAAGATTAGGGAGCAGGGAACGCCCCGCCAGAACATGCTGGCGGTGACGACAGAGGCGATCAATAGGACGGGGCAGGTGCGGGTGCAGCAGGTACATGAGGAGACAGATGAAGAAGAAGAGGAAGTAGCTGAAGAGACGGAGGAAGTCGAGGTGGATAACGCAGTGGAGGTAGAGGAGGAGCAGACTGAGCAAGTACAGGAGAGTAGTCGGGAGACGTCCATTGCAGAGGACGATTATTCAGCGCCGAGACAGACTGTGAAGCGACGACGGATGGATAGCGGTGGTGATAGTGCTTGGCTGTCAAGGGAAGAGGAGGAACGGGCGATGAAGGAATTGTTGCTGGATTGGATTGCGGTTCCTGGCAGTTATTCAAGATGGTGGTTTTTAAAGAGTGACGAGGAGAAGGAGCCGCTGTGTGACGAGATTAAACTGTTCTTGCGCTCGCACGGACTGCATAATGTGGGCAGTGTAGACATTCGACAGCAGCTCACAGCATTCGTGGCGACGTTCCAGGCGGCGCAGAAGTGGTTAAGGCAGGCGAGAGTGGACTATCCGCTTAATGTTGCGGAAATGACGTTGGAGCAGGAGGAGGTTAAAAGCCACGTACTGCAAATGTGTCCGTACTACGAGAGGCTGGTATCAGTGCTTGCTCCTTACGTGAACTATGACGATAGCAGTGCGAGTGTGGCGCAGAGTGCTGATACTCCGGCAACAGCAACGCTCAAATCTGCAACACCTTCGAATAGTAATAGTACGCCACGTATTCAAACAAACGATACGACTGTCGCCGCTAATAGTCCGGCAAAGCCAGCCAAGATTTCACAGAGGCAGAGCACCGAGTCCAATACTGAAGACAACAGCGACGACGAGACCAAGGCGCAGAAGCGGCATTTGTTCAAGTTGGAGTGTGCGCGACTCCAATCCGAGATCGAGACTAGGAATGTTCAACTGGTAGTGGAGAAAACTTTGGCACGAAAGAAACTGCTGGACGCAGGCATCTCTCCTGAGGAGGTGGACAGGATTTTCCCCTTGTGATGAATGAAAAATTTACAGAGGGCAGTGGAAGTTTGTAGCATCTGCTGGACTATTGCCCGTATTTGCTTTCGCTGGATTGCTTCGATTCGATATGGTGAGTTTTTGTGGACGTGGTTGGTCTTGAGGACTTGCAGTGGCTGCGTGGTTCGTTGACTACCTGCTTTTCACCAGCGATGGCTGCCTCTACTGTGCTTCATGATAGTTTCGAGGCACGGACACGCATGTTGGAAGCTCGTAGCAAGTTTGGTTGGCTATAGTAATTCGTGTGTGTACATCGTTGGACAGATTAAAGCTCGAGGTTGCCCCACCTGTCACCGCTAGTAAAATATCATGGAATTTTATCGTACTGTAGTCCAAATGCGACGCGGTAACCCTGATTTTGCAGTCGACTGTAATTGCCTTTGGTCCCAGATTCAGTGAGATGCAAGACTCTTCAAGAACTCACGCCAACATTGTGTTAAGCCCGCTCCTCTGGTTGGAGCAAGCCGATTAGGCCTCACCGCGGTTCTGGGATTCTGATTCTAGGGATTCAAAATCGCCATCCTCCATTCATGTGCTTTTGCAGTGGCTGACTACGCCCAACAACTACAAGCGGTGGCTGACGGAGGAGAAACGTCCACTGTGCGAAGAAATTGCTGCTTACTTGGAAGTGGAAGGTAGAACACGTCGTAACGCCAATTAGGTCTACAGGAAGATAACAGAGTTGCAAAAGAAAGTTGAGGCTGCAACAAATTGGCTAATAGCTCATGACGCGTTTTAGCGGGGCGAGGTGGCGAAAGCTGCGCGAAAGAAACTCACTAAAATGTGTCCGTACTACGAGGAATTAACGGCCGTTTTCTTAGGTAACAAGGCTGTCAAGTTCCGAAAGTGAGTACCCTGAAGCTCCCGCTGTGACGATGATGATGACACAGACGATGACGAAAAGCAGTCGCTCTGCAGTAACTCATCAGAGGCGCAATATGATGTGACCGATGAGGCTGAATGTGACAGCAAACAACTTCTTCAATCGCACACTCACCGTTTGCTCGACGTCGAGTTCGAGTGCAAAAAGGATCAGCTGGAAGCGGAAAAGATCTGCAGCGTGGCTTTGAGTCGCGAGAAGATGCTTGACGTCGGCATTGGCCGCGACGAGGTTGACCGCCTGCTCCCCCAGTGAGAAGAAGTCGCTAGCTGCCGTAATGTAGGAAGACCAAGCCAAAGGGCTGTAGTTTTCGAGAAGATCCTCACTTTCATTAAATGGAGAACAATGTTATGTTTATTATGTGCATGTCGTTAGTACAGATGGAATTTCCCAAGCTAGCTTCATTTGCTAGCCAATATACATCTTCGGTGCAGTGGTGGCGTTCAGGCCTTGAATTCGTTAACACTGGATTCGTTGTATAGGGCGGCATACAGTGCTGCGCGCAGATCATCTCTGGTCTTGAAGTGTGGCAACTCCAGCGTGTTGTAGCACGCATGACTTCGGAAGTAAGCCACGCCGCTCGCGTCGGTCAACGTAAACTGGGACAGCTGGCCGTCGTAGTTTGTAAGACCCTGGAATCCTACTAGTGGGACGTGTGAGTAGCCCGTAGTAAACTGTAGTAAACTCTTCTGGTAAACTTGTGACATCTCCTTTACGACGTCCCAAAACCACGTCACCTCTTGCCGCGGCTCCAGTGCCAAACGCGTGTGAAGCTGCCAATCCGATACACTGATCTCATCAGAGCCGCAGAGTAAGTAATCCAGCTCTTCGTAGTCAAAAGGCAACAGCATCCGCTGGGGAACGACATCATAGAATCCCTTGAGAAACGAAGACAATTGCGGGGCCACAGACTCAAACATCACAAAGCGGAACTTGCGGTCCGCGAACTCGAACTTGTTGTCGTCATTGACTTGAATTTTCCTTCCAGCAGGGATGAGCTCGACGATCTGAGCATGGTTGCCATGACGCTGTGTCACCGTGAAATCCAATTCCAGGGACTCCGCACCATCGTTGTCCAACAGCCACGTCAAGTTCCGGTACATCTCTGCATCCAGAAACTCCAAGTCTCCGAACGTGATTGGCGTTCCCAGTATCATCTTGAGCAGCGGAACACACAAGTGAAAGTTGAGTACAGCTCCTTCTAGTAAAGCTCGCCCAATCAACCTCCCAGCAGCGTTGAAGTGCTGCAAATGGTCCTCTCCGAGCACGCGCTTCGACTGTGAGTTGATGAAGAACGTTTGGTCGCTGCGTTGTGTACAGGAGAAGAGTCCGACATCCGGGTCTACTAGCTTCTCGATCAGAAGCGTCAGCCATCCACGGTGCAGTCCACCGACCTCTTTTCCGTCACTTGATACGTCTCCCTGATCAGCGAAACTGACTTGAAGACGCACCGATCGGATGTCGTCCTCCCGGATGCAGTTAATGTGCTGTACGGATTGTTCTAAGATGAAGTCACGATGCACCGACAAGTAGGAGCGAGCTGAGTCATCTACTGTCTGAAGGAGTGTCGCTGCACTGGCAGCGAAATGTGCGTACTTCGTCGGGAAATCCTGAGCTGAGAGTTCCACAGCCACGTGCTTGAGATCCTCCAACGCGTCAGACAAATCGACACGCGGAGGTGGCAATGGGAACTGCGTCGGATCAACGTCGCGTGGTTCTAGCAGCTCAAACTGCACGCCAGCACATGGATCATACCCCGTGCTCAGACTTCGTTGTCGCTGCTTCGACACTTCACGCTCCGCTTCAGGTTCAGTCTCAGGCGGCAGCGCAAAGCGCAACACATAGCCCGGGGAGCAATCGCCTCCCTCTGCCAGTCTGCGGTGCCAGACAAGGCGGTTATGCGCATCCAGTTCCCTCGTCCACTCCCGACGCTTAAGGGTGCGAGGCAGGGCAACATCTTCATTGAGAAAAGGCAGAACGGAGGCAGGAAGCTTCGAATCGGAGCTCAGCAATCCGCACAGGGCGCAGCGCAGCACATGCGCAAAGTTCGTGAAGCCACAGGACACGCAGGCTGTACACCCTCGCTTCGCGTCTCTTATTGTGACAAAAAGTTATAGTTAGTTAGGACTACTTTGCCAGTCGACTTCATCGATTAAACGCACCGTTGGGCAGCCAGCATTCTGGGTGCTCACTGTTGCAATGTTCAAAGCGAAAACAGCAGTAAGTTTGCGGTGTCAGCTGCCACAGTTTGTTGTCGTCACGTACGTGGTGAGGATCATGGAGTTGTGAGGTTGAACAACGACTGTGTTGCGCACAGCACGCTTGATAAGAAATGCGGCAGCGATCAAAAGCACGGCTATACAAACGGATAGGTCACTTGCTGCTAGAAGGGAGGCGCCTTTGGTCGCCATTGTCTTCGCGCTGAGAAAGAGGTCGCGATCTGAAGTGGTGACACCCGTAACCGTCCGACAAACCCATATCTGTGAAAACGTATGTCGAGAGCGGGCCGAAACCGTTATCAGGAGAGGCAAAAGTTCTGCAACAACTGATTTCTCTTGACTGCTTATGAGTAAATTTATCTACGACTGTTTGGAATCGAACAGAACTTTTACGCCTTTTTGAATCAGGACGGGTCATGGTGAAATGAATGATGAGAATGGCTGCGTACACCGTTTTTTTTTTACGAAGAAAGTCCAATACAGTGGGATGTGTATCCCCTTCCCCGACCAGATGGACTGAGCCATTCCATGACCATCACTCTGACTGGCGACCCCCTCCCTCCGTCCATTTCAAATTCAGTCCACACAGCAAGCACGTGGCTTGGGTTTAGCCTCCGGAATGCCGCGCAGACACGCCCGCGCGCCAAAACGGAGCGATGAAGCATCCGGAAGTGAGGCTTCCAGTAGTAAAGATAGTGACAGTGCTGCCGAAACTTCTAGATCATCGCTACGCCAGCGAGCCCCGACGCGCAAGAAGAAACGACCGAGCACGCATATTTTGCGTCGTAGAACCCGAAGTGGGGGTAAGCTGCCTAAACGCCGAAAACGTGACCATAAGAAGAGGCGCTCTCGCTCACACAGCCGTGGAATGTCTTCGGACGTCTCTGGATCTGACGCTATCAGCACCAATGACAGCTCTGAATCCTCCGGTGCGTCTGAATCGGACACTACCAGCGGAAACAACGCTACCGTTTCATATCGTGGCTCTGGGGATGGTGGTATCGTCGCTCGGGATGATTTGGTTCACGTTTCGAAGATTGACGTGAAGATGTTCGATGACTGGAAGACACTGGAGGCGTACTTACGGAACTACGGTCGCCGAACATACCAGGTGTGTGTGCCAATCTCAAGTTGTGGCACAGTCTGAGACTGTATCTAGATAATCAATCATCTGCGCAGCTCGCCTGGCTGTTTGCAATCAATCGCTGTGTTTCGTTCTTTGCAGAAATGTTTACCTTACGTCTAATCGCGAGGGAGAGAGGCGGTCTGATCGTGCGACAGGTCCAGTCAGTGTCGCAGGTCGGTCAATATTTGGCAAATCAGATGGCGAGCTAATTGTGTGACGCTTTTGGATATATTTGTCATTTTGGCATAGTTAGGTCGAGTCAGAAAGATAGGAGCGGTCGGTAGGATGGGAGAAAACTGTATTAGCCGGGCCGGATGTAGCCATGCGAAAAGGCAGGTCAAAGCAGGAAGACAGGGAGTGCGACGGACGGACAGACAGACCGACAGGTTACAAGGTTAGGGAGCGGGAAATACTTTACTTTCAATCAATCATCTGCGCAGCTCGCCTGGCTGTTTGCAACCAATCGCTGTGTTTCGTTCTTAGCAGAAATGTTTACCTTACGTCCAATCGCGAATGCGAGAGGCGGTCTGATCGTGCGACAGATCCAGTCAGTGTCGCAGGTCGGCAGGTATTGCCCAATCAGGGCGCGAGTTAATTGTGTCACGCTTTTGGATATATTTGTAATTTTAGCATAGTTAGGTCGAGTCAGAAAGGTAGGCACGGTCGGTACGATGGGAGGAAACTGTATTAGCCAGGCCGGCTGTAGCCATGCGAAAAGGCAGGCAAAAGCAGGAAGAGAGGAAAGCGACGGACTGATTGACAGACGGACGGACGGACAGGTTACAAGGTTAGGAGGCGGGAAATGTTGTGCCCGTTTCGACGAGAGGCAGTGACCAAAGTATACGCGCGAATAACGTATAGCCGCAAGAGTTTAATCTGTGTCTGACACACAAAGTGACACACAGGATGAGTTTGAGGTACAGCTTCCCTCTCAACGCCACACCCATGTACTCAAATAAACCTTTGTACTCATACGAATCTGACAATGTGCAGCCCGCCTGACACGATGTGTTATGCAGACACATCGTCAGCTGCGGACTGCATAGCTGGAAACACTTCGAGTTAAACAAACACTTTCATTCATAGCTATTATAACAATATTAACGAGCACTAAGAACTAGAATAGAAGTATGCATTGAAAGTTAGCTAAACAAGCTAGACACACATTGTCATGTACCTGTAGCGCAGGTACTGAATGCTCTTCTTGTCGAGACAACCCGGTGTGTCCGCCCCAGCGAATACCTCGAACGCTAGCAGCACATATATGCCGCAGTTGTAGCTGTCGGTTTGGATCCCCAACTGAGGATCATATGTTTTGATGCGGATCCTGTGCTTGTCGCGACCCGGGACCATCAGTGAGAGATTAATAACAGCAGTGCGGAGGCCAATCCTGTACGACGACTCCATTGGATCGTACGTATACAAAATTCGAGCGCTCACATCGAACATGATCGCACACCAGTGGTTGCCGTGGGCATTCACTGGTATTATGACCTTCTCGAAGGATAGCCCGAGCAATAAATCGGCCAGTCTATCGTTGTCCAATGTCACTTTCGTTGGGGACTCGACCGTTATCAGATAGGAGCTCCCCACGACAATGGACGACTTCGTTCCAAAGAGTTTCTCCAACAGGTGTTGCATCGTCGTGTCACCCAAGCAGCCTTTAGCAGCGATCTCCAGCATTTTCCGTCTACAGAAGATTTCATTATATATGGTTAGAGGTGAGTGGACATAGTTCATGTCTGGTGTTCGTACCTCAGGTGCCAGCAACTGGGATCTTTCGACCTTGGCCTTCATGTCTGGATCCTCCTGAGTCTTAAGCGCAGGGGGCATTGGGATGTCAAAGTTAATCGTCTGGCACCATCTGACCACTCTGTCTACAAGGTGAACCGTCTGGATGGAGATATGATATCTCTTCATTGTAGCAAGCGTGCTAGTTTTGAATACTCCTAGACCAGGAATTTTCACGACAGCTTCGGGTTCTGATAGGTGCTCGCTCACTATCTGCAGTGCAGTCACCTTCTTTGTGCATTTGCGGAGTAGATCCTTCGGGAAGACGCGTACTAGCTCATCTGCATCAATAATCGTCTTGTTAGCCGGTAATTTCGCCAGCTTATACGCAATCGGGGCCTTGACATTCTTGTCCACCATCAGCACCTTGTACTTGATCACTGTTGATGAAGCCGATGTGTACGTTGGATGGACCTCCAGCGCTCGAGCCAGCGTGGCGATCGTCATGTTCTTGCTGTGCATCTCCTAATCTTCTTTAGTCATATGAACCGCAAGGTTTTGCGCTTTTCTAGCAGCTTTGGTCTTGGTCTTCGGTCTCCCTCGCGACCGCGGAGGAGATGCAACGTCAAATGCGTCGGAATCATCCTCCAAACGAACAGGTCTGGCGATCTGCTCAGGTGGGCCAGTTGGTGACCCCGATTGTGCGGATGGTTGGGTGCTCTCATCAGATGGGCCAGACGGTCTCGAAACCGTTTGAGATGGGCTATATGGCCTCGTATGGGTCTGCGTACAGGCGGCAATACTAGATTTACCAGAAGAAGTCTCCACACCCCGATCAGGTTCGTCCACTTCGACACTCATGGTTTGCTCTGCATCAGCGACTTCTACAGTCTGATCAACATCAGCACCTGTGGCACCCTCATGTGGCTCTGTGCCTTCCAAGGGTTCATCTGAATCAATGTTGCTTGCTATATCGATTGCAGTATCCTCCTCGACAGTTTCATCTTGACCGAGATGACTACTGTTGGTGGCAGTGATGAGCTTTTCGACTTCCTCGCTATTGCCACGCTTGAAGAGACGTGCAACTTCCTCCAGCGATTTGATAGCTGCGCGATATTGAGCCACACCCATGCCGCTCATTGTGTCTGCGATGGAGCTGGCAACCGCTTGCGCTTCACGAAATTTTCGATTGAATCCCATGGACGGTCTTGGTCACGGAGAGCTTTGCGAACCGCGAAAGATTTTGAGAGTGACTAGGGAGCGCTGGCTTTCTGCATGGTTCTTTTCTGCATAACCCTTTCCCAATTTGGATGCCATCCGGACGGGGCGTACTGTATACTTCACGTATACATTGCCTCGAATGAGAGTGCCTCAAAAGAGATTGAGTGGCATTGCGCCGCCTCCCCCTTTCACTCGAAAGATTTCCGCGCCCAAAATGGAGCGCCGCCCGCGATCGGCGCAGAAGCGCAGGGCGCACGTGACGGCAAGCGACGACAACCAGAGCGACAGCGGGAGCAACGTCAGCGACGAGGGATGGACGCTATCATCCGACAGCTCACGCACGCCCAGATCCGACACGTCCAGTCAAGTGGACACGCAAAGCCATGGGTCGTCGGAAAGCTCGGACTGTGTCCTCGCCCCTCCGTTGGAACAGACGCGCTTCGATTCGTGGGAAGAACTGCATGTATACCTGGACGAGTACATGCAACAAACGTACCAGGTATGGTCGTGTTTCTCATGGAATTTACGATGGCACACAGTTTGACGTCTGTTTTCGTGTATTTGCCGCAGAGTTTTCGCGTTCGCACGAACAGCAAGGTAGCGGAGAGAAACAACAAGATCAAGGCCGCCGGATCAAAAACGCCGGCTATCCCGGAAGAATGGGGGTACTACAACAAGACTCTGGTCTGTAAGCATGATGGTACGTTCAAGTCTCGCGGTCTGGGAAAGCGCCCGCGACAGGAGACTCGGCGCATTAAGTGCGGTGCGCAGGTAAGGCGAATGCTTTTGTTTGTTTGCCAGTTGGATTTAGATGGGTTCGCATGGGCACCGAGGTTTCTGTAACCTGCAGACGGGTCCAGACTGTCCAAAACGGTTTCCAGACGGTGTGGGTTTGCAGACTAATTTGTCCCTCAATGTTTGTAGATCAACGCTTGCGTGCGGGTTGTGAATGGGATACCTGACGACCCCGTGTTTGGCCTGTGCGTTACGATGGCCAAGCTGCAGCACAACCACCCACTGAACAAGCTCACGTACGGACAATACTCGTGGGTACGGACATCTATCCCGCCTGCTGTTGCGGACACAGTCAACGTTCTACGACGTGCAGGTGCAA